CTGTCTGTGATGTTTTACAGATCAGGTAATAATGTGTAGAAGTAAAACATGAGAAATAGTATAGCAATATCCTGTAAAATTATGTAAAAACATGAATAAAACTACATATCTTCAGATGTTATACATACATAAGTGTCCTACACTAATAATACAACGTTATTATTAGTATGCTGTGTGTACCTTGTGTGCACCGCCTCGTGGTTAAAGCACGTTATTGAATTATTTTTGTTGAATAATGTTCAAGTTTTTCATTCCTCGCATAACTACACCGTAGTTGTGTATATGATATGTCAATAAACCTTAGAAAATCTTGAAATCTTGAAAGGGATGTGCAAAATAGCAATTATATACAGTTTTTAATTAACTATTAGTAGAGAATAACGATTAATGTATATACTTTATAGAGATCTGCAGATAAATGTTTAATCTTCTCAAGCACCAACAATCAAATATCTCTCCTGATTGTTGGCACTTGACAATCACCTTTCCCTGAATTGTACTCAGGTGTAACTAAAGTCTGATTTAAGGGTTGTTTATATTTCACCAATCATTAATCAGAATGTGCAAAGTAACGTAAAATAAATGTAGCTGGAGTAAAAATACCAGGTTAACCTCTGAATTGTAGTGGAGTAGAATTACAAAGTAACAATGAGCTGTCATGTGGGTATATATTAATACTGCCCATTATGGATACAAGCGATTTTCACCCATTTAGTAATTACACGTTTTAAATTTGTACACACCAATTTGTTTCCTATCGCCTAAACCTCCAGGGCTGTACACAGTTTAATACTGTCAACTTCTAATTTTGGGAAAAACGAAAACGTCTTTTAAAACTACAATTCCCAGTAGAGACGTGCCATAGAGAATATGTTGCGAAACACAATAGCCAGCATGTGTAGTTCTGGGGGGGCGTTCGAGTCCAGTTTTGAATAGTCTGCCGTGGTTTCGTTCCATTTCAAAGAGCTTGACGCTCGGCGTAACCTTGGCACACTGCCACTCCAACATTCAACTCTAGAGCTTGAAGATTAATCACAGGGTTTGCCAACGGGACTGTAGTCCCAAACGATAGCTGGGGATTATGGGTAGTGTAGTGTCTTCGACCATCCTAAACTCTGAATTTTTTTTCAGATATCATCGCATTAACACTGCAACGTGCATTGCGGCTAAAACATCCAATCAGCGAACATGAAAACATTCCCAGTTAAACATGCAAAAACAAATCGCTAAAGAAAAAGATAAAACACTGGCATGTAATTTACGTTAGAATAAATAGAATGGTTTTGAATAATAGATGAGAGTAAAATCTACGTCACTTTACAGCCCCGCCCACTTTTGTGGAAACCAACGCTGTCATTTGAACGGCGATCAAGCCTGAAGCCACAGAGCTCTTCTTTTACTGTCCTTTCTTCTTAGAGGGAGTACAGAAACACGTAACTCTGGATTAGTTTTAATATTTTGAGGTGCAATAAACGACACAGCAGCTTTTTGGCATGTTAAAACTAATATTTTCTGCCTCGCTCATGAGAGTAACAGCTGGCAAAATTACAGCCTTGTCTACTGATTTTAATTTAACCATGTATCGAGCCCGATTCTCGATTTCAAATTTGAAATCAAGACTATTATCATTATTATAAGCAAGACAATAAATGGCAAAGATATGTAGAAAATAAACGTATTTAAGATACGTTCATAACAAACGTAACGTGGGAGAAAATACGTTTCTAGCTAAACGTAATTGAGAATGCAGTTACCCTGCTTGACAAAATGTTGTTAGGGCGTCAAATGTCTTTATCCCTGCACATTTGCTGTTTCCTGGAAGCAGCATTACCACTGTAGATAACATACTTAAAAACATAAAGAAGTTTAAGTAAAAAGGATTAGTTCATGATTTTTCTTTGCAGCACTTTGAAAGCATTTAATTTTTTTCTGATTTCCAAGGTTTTTCACCAATGTACGAGTCAATGATGTCAACACCAAGGAGTACTGGGGTGTTAAACATTGTTATAAATAACACCTCGAGTCGTAGTTACAAAAGGTTTTGTGTTCAGATAATGTGTAAGTGTTAACCTTACCTCTTCCATTCTGTAGGACTCAAAAACATAAAGGTAGCTGCCTGGTCTGCCTACCAGTCTAGAGAAAAAGGGGTAGATTTAGATATAGATTGGTTCGACATGAACAAAAAAAAAAGATACAAAATGATACTTTAAAATAGAACATGGTTCCACACCTGCCCCTGAAGAAAGCAATGTAGATGATGGGGGAGAATGCATTGACAAACTTGAGAATGAAGGTCTTGAAGATAAGTCGTTCCTCAAAACTTTTGTCTGTTTTAGGAACCTCTGAAAAAGGAAAAGAGGATTTTCTTTTGATGTGTTGCAATGAAAAATAGCCACGTGCCAGAAACATTAATGTCATGGATGTGTTAAGAGAACATTGGGCAGTGGGCATTACGTGGCTGATGCCCAATGCCCAATGGCATCAGGTAACTGACACAGATGTTGTAATACAACTGATTGGCCTAAAAATAAGTTACTTTAATGCCAGGTGAACTTCCTGCGGTCTTGATTCAAAGATCATCACTCTTAAAGGCAATTTGAAACCCAATCAGAAAGTAGCAATCACACACAATAAAACACGACAACAGGAATTGGACAGGGGGCAGCTACAGTATATTTAGAGTTCTTAGAACTGGAGTAACATCCAGTACCTGCTGGGTACATGCACTCTCTTATTCCTCTATACAGTACAACTACTCTTACCAGTACGTTTTTTGCTACCACTGTAGGCTGTTAGGGAGCTGACGTATTCCTGATGCACCTGAAAACCGTAACCCCCAAACATTTGGGCCAAACAGCTGACTTGCCAAAAGACATCAAGTGGTCCTACCATTAAACTTGCCCTAACCAAAATAAAGGCAAGAACGAGTTCCCAAGGCATTCTCAAGAGGCGATCCAGGACTGTCTTCAGTTGTAGTGCAAAAGAGTGATAAAAAATGTTGCCTTTGATTCAAAGTCCCATTTTCCACTGTTTGTCAAAAACATGGGACCTGGTTAAATGCCTACATTTAACCTAACTTACCTAGCACAGTGAGCCATCGGGCCACAGCTCCGTACACCTCGTCCAGTATGAGGATGACCACCAGGTTAATGATGGCTGCAGTGGTTTTAACCGTCAGTTGTGCATGGCTCCGTGTGACCGGATTGGAGCTCATATATAGAGCAGCTTTGGTTGAGATCCGGTAGAGGATCACTCCAAACACAATGGCAAATGTAACACCAATCTGACAATGAAAAGGTTTGCAGGATTACAAACAGAATCCAACTGTGAGGGGATGGAGAAATAACCCTCATCAACCAAGTCGGATTTTCTTACCATTAACAGCATCATGACAATGTTCGTCATGTAGGCTGGGAGGCGGTCTTGACATGTGAGCTTTTCAGTCTAAAAATGAATAAATAAAAAATATATTCACCATTCACCACCATTGTAAAAACAAAAAATATGAAATAACTTGTAACAAAGACATTTAGAGATGCAAATATGTAGAGCCTACCATATAATTACCTTGTGATGAGATTTCTGATCTTTGCTCAGTGTCTTCTGCATGACCCTTAATTCATATTCAGCCCTAGGGTGATCCTGTGATGGGGACACAAACAGAAATAATGGACAGAAAAAGTGAAATAAGTGGAATACCAGCTGGAAATGTGCCTGGTGTAGAAGAGATTCTCTGACGGAACCATCAGTTCAGAGATCAATGAACCGGTGGACCAAAGTTGTTAAACAGCAGTTCTGCATTTCCTAGCAACTTTTTATTTTATTTTAGATTTGACTATTCAATGTTATTTAATTTAAGTTTATTTTGAGTGTGTGTGTTCGCTACTTTTAGTCTGGCTTGGATAGATTTTCCGAAAGTTTTCGTTGTTTTTTTTAGGATCATGCATAATGTCTCAGTAGTGTGCAGCTACAAGAATATGTAAGGATAACTTTGATAGTGAGGGCCATTTCTCAGTCCTCTCTCATTACCAGGCCCGGTTCTACGGGGGTGCATAAGGGTGCATTGCACCCTCAGTTGAGTCGTTATGCACCCTCATTTGAAAAATGTAAAGTGAAATTATAATTCTTTTTAATTAAAAGTGAAAAATATTACATATATAATAACAATAATAATAATAGTAGTAATAATAATAATAAGAAGAAGAAGAATATAGTTGAAATAAAATAAATTGTGGTTAAATAACATTGTCTTCTGCATTTATTTGGTCAATTTAAACGGTAAGTAACGTTGTTATGTCAGGTGCGCGTGACCTGTGCCCCTGCGCGTTCGTCATCTAAGGTGCTTACACAGCAGTCAATGATGGACATCAGAAAATGGTTAAAACAACCAGCCATTATCGCCAGCAGTAACACTGCATCTACTGCAGCTAATAACAGTTCAGATCATGGGGACACTAACGTCCTCCCGCCCGACTCGCCGGCTTTGCCCACGGAGCAGCCGCAGCCTTCTTCGTTGCCCCAAACAACGCCACCCCTCGGCGGCCCGCAAGTGCCAGAGGACCTCGGCATAACAGAGCCTGCCCAGGTATATTTAAAAAAGTACCAACTCGCCTGTACAGTGGGGTAAGGCGCTCATTTTGCAGCTCATGGTTTCAAAAAAGAGATTGGCTGGAATATTCCTGTAGACATTTCGGTCTTGAAAGGGGAGTGATTTGTAAAATATCCATAAAGAAATAGTAAATCTGCTTACAGTTCTGTTTCATATGGGTGTTGAGATGTATCTATAGATCTCTTCATTTTGCTCTCAAAGTGCACCAGATTGATGCTAATAACTTCAATATTTTAAAAAAAATCTTCCCGTGGGAGCATGCACCCGGAACCCCCTAGAGGAAGTGAGGACCCCCCTAGAGAGTGTTAGGTCCACTCCCCACTTATAAAAATAGCACTTTACCACTGCACCCTCTCTAATCTCAGATGCACCCATCAGTTTGTTCTGGAACCGGGCCTGCTCATTACCCAGTTAGTTAACATTAGACCTGGTGGAACAGCTTGGTTGAATCGCATTGGATCTATTAAGATATTTAAGCAAGGTTCATGTTACTCAAAGCAACATTATGTTGTTGCACACTTGGTACTGGCAGTTTTTGTATGTATCTGAATTTCTGGGATTTATGGACCGCTTTAAACATACGTTTGAAATGAATACACTACTATGAAAACATTTTAATGATATATATATATTTAACTCGCACAACAATAGAGTAAATACTCAATACCTGAAACAATAGACGTGTGTAACATAAAATAAATTTGAAATCAAACATTTTGTAAGAAAGTGAAAGCTTTCAGCTAAAAAGTGAACAGAAGACAAAAGGCTTGAGCTGTAAAGTCAGGAAATAATCACAGTGCTGAAAAAGAAGAAAAATAGTCATATTGTAAAAGTTGATAGCAGCAGCTTATGGAACCTGGGAGTTGGATTTTTATTTTTGTTATGAGCTATGTAATAAAACTACAGATATTCTTTTCCCTGAAAATGTGTTATTACTTTGTCAGGGATATATTTGGAGGTAATCCTATTTGTCTTATTTTGTCCATCTGCTGTGGTAGTAAACCGTTTTCTGGCATCCATCCCAGGCTCCATTCAGTGTGACTGTCAGAGAGAGAAGCAACAGTGATTAAATTAGCAAAGCAATATTGATATTAAGCTAACATTAAGTAATTCTTTCTCCGATTTGATCTGTCACCTCTGTAGCGCGATATACAACCACTTAGCTATTAATATTTAATGTTTAAATGTTTGTTTCTGGGTTTTTGTTGATTGTTTTCAGTAATGGTAATTTGTTTTAGTGAGAGGTGTGAT